ATTAGTTCGAGACAAAACGAAAGCAAGTAAATTCTTGCAGCGTATTGCATTCGTGTGCTGGAGTGCTCATGAACTCTTTGCGTTTATTACATTGAATCGTGAAGTATTAACCAATGAATTCATTGCGAAACTTTTCTGCAGACTGATGAAACCGTTGACAGTTTGGAAGCAAGTATTGGTAATTCACGAAAATCGAAAGAAATGGTCGCTGCAAAATGTGTAAATCATAGAAATGTACAAAATTCATCACAATATTCATACTCTCCAACGCCTGTTTCAGTATCAATGATATCCAGCGAGGTTGATCGTTTATTTAGCTCTTTCTCATCATCTTCCTAATAGCAATTAACGGAATACTGAGTGCCCTTCAATCGGGTTGTTCATATCATGCTTCAGATTCGGAATGCTTGACCTGAGCATTCCTATGAGTTATTGATTAGTGTGAAACTGATGTAATTGATGAGATAATTCGATATGATCAGGCAGTACTTGATGTTTTGATCGCATTGTTTGGTCATTTAATCAACTTGGANAATTTCGATAATTCAGCAAAGTCATTTGATTGCATTCATTCGACAACTGTTATGATATTGACTGTGATTCGAATTTTACCAATTTGGTTTTTGTTTTATATTGTGTTCGAATTGAATTGTGTCTTCGAAATAACTTTTCTTGAATAAAGCTTAGGACTGAACATTTTTTAATACGAGCAATTTTATTCGACCATTTTTTGTAGTATTTATAATCATGATAATGCGAGTGACAATCGTATAATCATGACAATCATGATAACAAATTCAATTAAAGTAACAGTAATGATTAGTATAATATTAGATTCGAATTGAAAAAAGACTATTTACAAATCTGTTCATATAGAGTAATGTGATTTGTCTCTGGTATAACGTTCAGCTGGGAATGCGCTGACGTGCGTTCGCTCATTTCCGTCGATAGGAACTCACTTGAAAGTTTTTCAGCATTCAGTAATTTTTCTCTTTACTTTTTCCTTGTGAATTCCAATTATTCATATGATTTCACATTCCCACGATGCTTGCTAGTTACATGGGATACAGCTGAAGGCATTAAAAATGCTATATGGCTGTTCGTTCCTCACTGAAACGTTACTGAATGATGCATGTCGAAAACTCTTTCAAGATGACTATTGGAAACTGCGGCTGAATCGAATCAATTGATGATATTTACAGAAATATCGACGCGACTAAAATTGAAAGCACAAAAACAGTGAATGATCGGAGATCGTTGAGTTGTTGAGATGCTCCGTTGAGAGCACTCCTTGACGATCGCGAATCTGAATGATAGGGTTCATCACGGAAATAGAAATCCGTTTGTGGTCTGAACGGCGAGTATTTATCATCGAGACCAGGGCCGAGCACAGACATACGATCGTTATACGTTGTGAGCAGGTCGAGTACGACCCCATTCGTCCAACCAAAACCATCCTGAAAGGAAATTGAAGAGTGCACATGAAATTTTTCTCATGAATACAATGTTCGCTGCATTGATCAGCGACCGAATATCAATTCGATGAGTTCCATACGGAGGGAGATTGGTCGAGACCGTGAAAATTTGGATTCAATATGCTATTTCCCTTTGCATGCTTCATCATTTCGATTGGTAGGCTTTAGTCAATATATCAGTTTCATCAATCAATCCAGATTAAACATTCCGAACGAATCGATACTCACCTGTACTTCATATTCACCTCCTGCACCTGGTCGAGCATAATGGCCAATTACATTGTACTGAAAAACGAAACTCTATCGAATGAAATTGGTTAACGAGAATATTACTTTCTATCCTTACATCATGATGGTGGTAAATCCGACTATTTAGAGAATCCATGAAAAGTAATTAGCGAAATCCTAAAGAGAGAACATTTAGCAATCTGTGGGTTTTTCCCGGGAATTAAATTTCACTTCTTATGTGTATGGGTGAATAAGAATACCTTTTCCCACA